TAAAAATTCTAATTTAATTCATTCAAAATTGAATTTTTCTAAAATTTCAAATTAAAACCTTTTGAAGTTGATCTATTTATGAAAATTGTAAACGAAACTCTTTTGAAATCAAATTACTTTTGAAATATTTAAGTGAAAATATTCATTAAATAATTTTTAATTTTTTTAAACAAAAATCCCCGACTTTTCCCTGCGAGTTGCCTGACCTGTGGCAACGCTGATTGAGTAAATAAATTATTTCTCAATTTTTCTTTTAGTAAATAAATTATTTAATTTTTCCATCAGTAAATTAAATATTGGTTAATTTTTTCCAAGACAACAATTCGTGTGTAGAGTGAAATTGTCGGATCGTATGACATTAAAAGCAATCAGAGATTTTGATGCCTTCTGGCAGATAGTATTAGTTGAAGCGAGACGTCCTTAGGGACACTAGTTTGCAGTGAGACCGCAAGCTTTCCACCATGAACTTATTCGACATCGAGGACGACGAAGGTGGAAACTAACTCATCGCAAAACTTATCCACAAGGGTATCAGATTAATAGAAATATTTTATTCATTAATAATAAACACCGAAGTAATTTAGTTTAGAGAGAAGAATCCTTTGTGAAAAATTCTAACCTCTTAAAATTGTGAAATTGCTCAAATTCTCTCATATATTTATAATTTACTCCATTTTCCGCAAAATTTTCCTATTTGATTATAATCCTGGTTAAAAACCGCACAGATTTCGGACTAATCCGAAATTTGTCCGAAACAGTGCGGTTTATGGTCAGGTTTTTGACACCCGAAATCGAGGGGTTTTTCACTCTGCTGATTCGCAGTGATTTCCAAGTAACTCATTTTGACTCATGGGTGACTCACTATGACTCTTGAATGACTCCTGCAAAAGTAATTTTTTGGGACCAGGATAGGGAATAAATAATACACCACGTTTTTATTCACTCCAATATATACGAAAGGACATTTATTAAAATTCGAAACTTGAAACATATACAAAATAAATTTTACACGCAACGCGTCTTTACTTTTCAGCCGGTCAGTCTTATCTAATTGTTCGCAGGCTTCGTCATCACATCATTGACATATTTCGACAAAATTCGGCATCGTTTTTCGCGGCAAATCCCTACTCTCTTGCGTTTCTATTTCTCTCTCATTATCTCTCTCTCGATGCCACAACATAATTCATGAGTGACCATGAGTCGCTTTAGAGTCATCATGAGTCACCCATGAGTCAAAACGAGTCACTTGAGAATCACTGCGAATCAGCAGAGTGAACAACCCCTCGCCCGAAATTAATCCGAATAAATCCGAACTCTATACGGTTTGTGAACAACTAGTAAATCCGGAGTTGGTCCGATGAAGTCCGAAATTAATCAGTTAATTTTAACTAGTGAATCCGGAATTAGTCCGAAACAGTCAAAAATTAGACCGGACAATTTATTGAATGTTAATTTCGGACTAATCCGGAATTTGTCCGCAAAAGTACGGTTTATTGTGGAGTTTTTACACCCTGAATCCGCAGCTAATCCGAAACAGTCTGCTTATGGTTAGGTTTTTGTCACTCAGAATTAGTCAAGATAAATCCAAACTCAATACGGTTTTTGTATAACCAGTGAATCCGGAATTAGTCCGATCTAGTCCGAAGATAGTCTGATAATATGCAACTCGCAAATGTGAAATTAGTCCGATTAAGTCTGGAATTAAACTGGTTATGGTCAGGTTTTTGGCATATGAAATTATATTTATAGTCTAAATTTATCTGAATTTAATACAAATTGTTTTTAATATACAAATTCAATATTATACAAAAATCATTCCGGATTAAGTCTTTGAATTGGATTGAATATGAATTGTTTTGAATTGTATGTGGATTGTATATATTTACAAATTCCATATTATTATAAGACTTTTTTTCGGACTGGGGTGTTTTGATCGGATATTATTCGGATTGCCGCTGACTATATTACCGGATTCTTTGCATACAGATTTTGGATTGTTCCATACTTGTTTCGGATTAAATATTTCAACTGGATTACTTTTGGATTATTGCCGACTGATTTCGTATTCTTTACATGTTGATTTTGGATTATTCCGTATTTATTTAGATGAATTTTTTAACGGACATAATTTCGGATTGTTACGTAATAATTACGGACTTAATTCATAAACATTCATGATTACTCCAGACTCATTTATGATTCACAATTTCGCTCGGATTAACGTTAGATTAACGCGAATCATTTTCGAATATTTTTCGTACAATTATCGGCCTAATCCACAATAATATGTCCGGATTGAATCCAGATTAGTCCGAAATTTTTTGCAAGGGATATAATATATGATTTGGGTGTCCGACTATTTCCGGATTATTAGGATACATATTTCGGATTGTTTCGTATCTGTTTTGGAATAGGATTTTACCACACTAATTACAAATTGAAGCGGACTAATGTCGGATTATTTGCGTACAGATTTCGGATTATTTCGTATTTGTTTCGGATTATGCCTTTTAATTGGATTAAATCCGGATTATTTCAGCCAATTTTCGGATACTTAGCATATAGATTTCGGATTGTTTCGGATTATGTCTTTCAATTGGATTAAATCCCAATCGTTGCAGACAATTTCCGGATTCGTTGAATACAGTCTTCGGATTGTTTCTTACTTATTTTGGAATAGGATTTTGCAACACTTAATTTCAAATTTTTGCGAACTAATATCGTATTACTTGCTTGCAGAGTTCGGATTGCTTCGGACATTTTACGGATTAAGTTTTCTTAACTAGACTAAATTCGGATTGTTGCGGACTGATTCCGTATTCTTTACATATTGATTTCTGATAATTCCGTACTTATTTTAGAAGAATTCTTCACCGGTCATAAATTCGGATTGTTGCGGACTAATTACGGACTGAATTCGTAGACATTCAGGATTACTCCGGAGTGTTTTCGGATTCAGGTTTCCGTTTGGATTAATATCAGACTAACGCGGATTCGTACCAAGCATTTTCACGTGGGTATACATAGAAGTATAAGCATGTAAAAAGTACCTCCTCATTGGTTAGGTTCATATTTAGAGAATGATTAAGTTAAACAATTTTTTTGAAAAATTCAAAAATTTTGATTTCCACCAAAATGACTGAACAGACTTTCATGAAAAAAATTTATTTTGTACAATACAATAAAAACAGTTTAGAAAAAAATTTGTCAACCAAATCCGCACACAGTAAACCAGTAAAAAAAATTTTTTTTAACAATTATTTTTGGTTGAAATTTTTTTTGCACCACCTCTATTTTTATAGAAAATAGTTGTCATCTTAAAGGAAGCATATATTTTTGACAAGATGATTAAAAGGGAACATCATAATTTAAAAAATAAAAAACCGATTTTTGGCCCCTAAATAGTACAGTTTCCTATATAAACGAGGGACCAACATTTTTTTAATTTAAATTACCTAATTAATAATTAAATTAAATTTCTAAAAAAGTTACAAATATATGCCTATTTATTGTAAATATTGATTTTTTTGTCAACTTTTCGAAAAAAATTTTAAAAAAGTAAAGCTGTCACTGCGGACATTCGCCAAACTATTCCTGTTTGCCCAAGGAAATTTCCGTAACTTAGATTTAGAGAGTAAGATTACTTTTTTAATGTTCATCGCTTTTTTTGTCATTTACTGTATAGTGTGTGATGACGCATTGCTGTCTTCCACCAACAATAATGATAATTTGTGAAAATTTTATTTAATGTACCTACCTGGGTGTAAATTATACAAAAATCTTGTAAATAGTATAAGGTACTAATCTGACTGACAATCTCCTCGTGGTGTACGTTGGGCAAATGGGAATAGTTTGGCGAATGTCCGCAGTGACAGCTTTACTTTTTTATAAATTTTTCCGAAAAGTTGACTAAAAAGGCAATATTTACAATAAATAGGCATATATTATTAACAGAGAATGAGATTGATAAAATCTCATTCTCTATTCATTTACCGAGTGATAAATTCTTAAATATATATATATATATATTATTAACATTTTAAAAAAAATTTAATTGTTAATTAATTTAATTTAAATTAAAAAAATGTTGGCTTCTCGTTTATATAGGTACCCTTTCAATCATTTTCTCAAACATATATGTTACTTTTGAGATGACAACTATTTTATAGAAAAAATGGTGGTGGTGCAAAAAAAAATTGTTTAAGAAAAAATTTTTTTTTTATTTCCTGTGTGAGAATTTGGTTGACAATTTTTTTTCTAAACTGTTTTTATTGCATTGTACAAAATAAATTTTTTTTATGAAAATCGGATCAGCCATTTTGAAGGAAATAAAATTTTTTGAATTTTTCAAAAAAATCGTTTAACACAAAAACAAAATTTTTTATCGAGTTGAAACTTGGTATAAATAAGTTTTATAATTGGTCAAAATTATTTCCAAAATATGGACCCAGTCCATGAGGGGGCACAATTTACATGCTTTTACTGTTGCGCCCTTTATTTCACAAAGATTTTTAGGTTAAAGAAATTATATTGAGACCCTCAATTGTGCAGAACGGAAAAGTTACATTGGAGTAAGAGAGACAGATATATCAGTTTTCTCTCTTACTCCAATATAGATTTTCCATTCTGGACAATTTTTACCGAAGGTGTAAATGCTCCATAAGGGTGTAATGACAGTTTCGCGTTCGATTGACGAATTGCGAAAGATTTTTTCTAAATGTTAAATACTTGATAAAAATTTTGATATCAGAATGAAATTTTTAATAATTTTTTACTACTACTAAAATGAAAGTGAGTGTTTTCAACTTGAGTTTTAGCGGAATGAAACTAGCGACCCTTGCTGCTGCAACGCTGGTCCATAAGGCGAGGGGTTGTTTCATCTCCCTGGTCGAAGTAGATACAGACACCCTCCTGCATCTCCAGTGGCGCAGCTTTTGGCCAAAATCGGAAGCAGAGCTTGCGCCGGAACCGAGAAGATCCCTCTCAGTAGTTGCCCAGTCGTTGTCACGGGCGTAGTAATTTTCGATAAATATTTATTTAAAATTGTGAACAAAAAAATACATATCGCGCCTCGATTCTAATCGTTAAAGAAGCTTTTAAAACAAAACATCGCTTTTGCGTTAAAATCTCTAACTGCCGGATGAGATAATTTACCCGTGTTTTGCATGAGTGTCCGTATTATTGGAGAAAACGAAAAACCGAAATTCGGATTAACGCGAGATTTGTGAAGTGCTTCGCCGGTGTATCAATATAGTTCTTTATTCTGTTGTATATTAAAAAAAAGGGTGCAAGTGTAGTGCAATGAGGATGCGGCGGAGGATTTTCCTCAAATCCTGGCCCAGCATCGACGAAAGGTAAACAGTAACTGTACCATTTTATGTTGAGAGTGTTCATTTTCTATAAATTTCAACTTCTTTATCTTCAAAGAGAGAGGTTATGTTCGGACATTAATCTTTTATTATAGAAAGACGCGAATTTAACAATGAACGATTTTACAACAATGGTGATGTTCATCACCACGAATATTCATTCGTAACAAAATATATGATCACAAAGTGTTATATATGAATAATTATTATACCAACATAAGTAACTAATAGTGAAAAATTAGTAAATCTGCAAACTGGAAATCTAAATTTATTTTCGAACTCTAATAGAAAATTATCTTGAGATTATTTTCTAAAATAAGTTTACAAATAGCAAATATTGTTATGCATTAGAATATATTATTTTTTGTCAATTCTCATTCAGGGTATCTACTGGTCCTTGAAGTCCTGGAATTGCTGGAAATGTCCTGGAATTTGAAAAAAAGTCCTTAAATGTCCTGGATTTTGAACTTTTGTCCTTGAATTTTCCATATTTTTCTTTTAAATATTCAATAATTTAAAAATTTTACTCAAATTTAAAAAATAATTTTTTTGATCCATCAACAAATAATTTCACTTTTTCATTTGATTAATGAAACTGGTATCTACAATATAGATTTTTAACTCTTTTTATAATAAAATAAATATTCTTGTTCAAGCAGGTTAATTTAAATTATGTTAATCGTAATATGAAATAATATAACACATATAAATGTCCTGGAAAAATAAGAAATCTGTCTTGGAATGTCCTGAAAATGTCCTGGAATTTTATGTCATATTTTCAGTAGACACCCTGTCATTAATGTTAATATAGTGTTTTAAATGAATTTATTATTAATACTAAAAGAAAAATTATGTTTTAATTAAAATATATTTTATAATTTTTCTTCCTTCTTCTAAGGGAGAGTATAAATTAAAAATGTGTATAAATCAAAGCGGCGAGGAATCGAAACAAAATAGTAATTGATTTGTTTAACAAGTGAATAGGAGATTTTTAAATTACTGCTCGATTTAAGAATCACTTGAATGTCAATTCGCTCTTAAGAAGAGAAAAAGAAATTGAATTTGTTTTTTTTTTTGTGAAGATGGACATTATTTATAAGTTTGGAGGTTTATTTATTTAGGACGATCAGAGGAATGAGAAAACGAGATGGAGGGTGTTTTTGCCATTAATCGTATTTCTCCTCATTTTTTCCCCTTCCACTAATTTACAATCCTGCGTGCGTCCTTCACACACATAGGATCCCTTGTTGATACGTAGGTAAAGCAATTTCTTATATTAGAAAGTATTTTATTGGAGCAATAAAAAAAAGGAAATCAGCTTTTACGGACTGAAACGATATTTTTAAAAAAGGTAAATTAATAACGAACAAGTCACTCAATGTGGCCAAATTTAGTAACTGAAATTCATAGCTAACATTAAAATTAAATCTTAATGTATTTCGCTATTCTCGTCTTGACTGTTTTCCGATTTTCCGTCGCGAATCTGAACACATATAAATTTTTTATAATCAATATTTACCAGTAAAATCTGTTATTATCGTTATGCTTTATTAATTTTGCAAAAGTTATAATTTTTCGATAAAATTCACATTTTTGCTAAAATTATTCTTGAATATTTACTGAAAATTACAAAATATTATTTAGGTGGAGTTTATTTTTTATAAAATTTGTTTGTTAATTAAAATATCATCATTAGGTTATCTATTTGTTTTACTATGAAAAATTGTATTAGTCAGAAAAAAATTTTATTAGTAAAATAATTTATTACTCTGGGTTCAAATAAATTTTTTTCTTTGAAAAAAAAAATGAATCGTATTTTCTTATTCTTATCTTAAATATTTTTTTTTCTAAATACTTGTGATGGGAGTTTACGTAGCAACGGATGAGACGACCCCTAAAATTCACCCCATGTCGCTTTTCATATCGATTGCTTTCCGGCATTTTGAACTCATACAAAAACTATCTGTCCTAAAAGTTCAAAAAAATAGTTTTGTCATATTAACAAAATATGTATTATTAAATAACATTAAAGTTTAAATAAATTTAAAAAATAAAACAAAATTTTTAATAAAAAAAATCCTGTTATGTTAAAATTTTGTTTATTTTGTGAGTAAAATTAATTTTCGATTTTGAAATTAAAATTGTAAAAGTTTTAGAGCAAAATTTGTTAAATTAAAATTTTTTATGAATATAAGGCCTTCATCTTTTAAACAGTTTTTCTTGGAAAAAATCCGTTTATGGTTTCTAATTTAGAGGAAAGCTTAAGTGAATAAGACTTAAGAGAAATTTGTATTAAGAAACATTTCCTAGAAAATCCGCATCGTCGTTGGTTGAAAATAAACTAACTTAAAGTGCAAACTACTTAAGGGGTACATTAACAGTGTATATAAATAAACACATTATTTAATAGCTTAATTATCAAAATGTGTCTTTAAAAAATTTTTTCTTGTAGCAAATCGAACATATACGTTCAAAACGTTAAAATTTAATATTTTTTTATTTTAATTAAATAAAAGGTTAGATTTAATTTTTAAAAAAAGTTAAATTTTTTAATTTTAAATAAATAATAAGGTTATATTTGAATTTTACGATTTCATTTTTTGCGGTATAAAAATATCGAATTCGATGTTAGAAGCCTAATTTTCCAACATCCGGTTTCGAGTATATACTCAATAAATATGTTTTTTCCCTTTCGATGTCAGCTTTTAGATATCGACTCTATTGATAAGAGGGAGGAAGAAAAATTATTCTTGACAATTTCAATTTCTCGATGATGCGGTTTTTGAATCGACTTGTAAGAGCATTAAAAGACGTGATTAAAAAAATATACATCAGGAGAAATGATAAAAATTTCCTATAATAAATAAAATTCAAATTTCTTACTTAATAATGTTATGATTCAAATTAGTTTAATAATTAATTATATTTCATTGAAAGGACCAAAAAAATAAATATTTTTATTTCCAGTCGATTTTCCTATAAGTTTTTGAATTGAATAGTTTTCTTCAGACTTAATACAAACTTAAAATTAATTTTTTTGCAAAGTAAGTCGTTATTAGTAGTAAAGAGCCATTTTGGTCAGACATTGTTTTTTAAATTTTTAGTAGTAAAAGATATTTTCAGTCAGACATAACAAATTCAGGATGTCTACTAATCGAATAAGCCCAGGAATTTTATGCCAAACTGGGAATTTTTTCACTAAATTAAAAAAACTTCTATTATTTTAATTTGTTAAAAAAAATTAACATATTTTTATTTCAATTTTTATAGATACTTATACTGTTCTCTAAATTAATATTAGTTAAAAGTAATTAATTTGATAGTAAAAAACTTTTTAACAAATCGAATTTTCAAAGTATTTTAATTTAATAATTCATAAATAATTGAATTTTATAAAGAGTCTCATTCTACTGTATTCATGTCTCTTAGTGCAAAGATTAATAATTAAAATTTTTATTAGTTAATTTAAGAAAAGATACACACTTACAATTTATTAATAAAATTGAATTTTCGCAAAGTTTTTTTTAAAACTCTGAAAAATAAGATTTTTGAAATTTTTCAATTCTGTTGTTTCAAGATAATCGAATTTTTATAAACAAATAATTGAAAATTTTTGAAATAATTGACATTTCTTTACATTCTGTTAAAAATAATTAAATTCTTTTAAAGAATTTTATTTAAATTTTTCGAAAATAATTAAGGAAATTTAGTCGCCGTAATTATAATTTTATTTTAAAAAATTTCTTCGCAATATATTCAATATTTTTCATAAATATTAAAACTCATTGCAGAATTTCAATTATTTTTAATACAATTTTAATCAAATTCCTCGAAAAATGTAATTATTTAAAAAAATTTTATAAAAATTCGTCGAAAGAATTCAATTATTTCTAGAAACTGTAAAAAAATTCTTCTGGAGAATTCAATTATTTCCATAAATAGCAAAACTCTAATTAATATTATTTTTCACAAAAATTCTTTACAAGAATTTAATTATTTTTATAAATTTCAATAAAATTCTAAAAAACAATTCAATTATTTTCAAAAGTAATAAAATTCTTCGCAGAAATTCGATTATGTTTAAAAATTTTTTAAATTCTCACAATTTCAATAATCTTTATAAATAATTAAATTGTTCTGCACAATTCAATTATTTTCATAAATTTTAATAAAATTCTTTAATTATTTTCATAAATAATAACATTTTTTGGAAGGATTTAATTACTTTTATAAATAGTACAATTCTTTGCAGATATTCAATTAGTATGAAAACATTTTAATAAAATTGAATTAATCAAATTTTCAATTATAATTATAAACAGACAAGATTATTTTAAAACATTGAAAAAATTCTTTGTTTAATTCAATTTTTTCCTTAATTTTCAATTAAAATTATTAAAAAAACATTATTTTCAACAAATTTAAAGAAACTCGTCAACAGAATTTAATTATTCATAAAAACTCTAATAAAATTTTTGAAGCCATTTGCAGATTTATTTATGTTCGAAATCAAATAAATTTAAATTTGATGAGAAAAAAAAATCAGAAAAAAACTGGAAAATAACCGGGAATTTTGTTTAACGATAATAGTAGATATCCTGAAATTTTTTTTCTTTTGTATAGTAAAAGTATCATCAGTATAGTAAAAGTAAATTTTATTTCTACTTTTATTTACTATTTTAATTATTATTAATTCTTAATTCTTATAAGTGACAGATCCAGTAAAACAAGCAAACATAACCTGTATTTCAGTGATGGTTCGCAAATAGAATTCCCAACTGCAGAAATTTATTTAGTTTGGAAGTATTTCTTTCAGTGTGTGTGAGTGGAAATTCAGTAGTGAGAAGACAGTTTCAGTCAGACTAAACTAGTTGACTAGGGAAAGTGATTGAGATAAAGCGTTTTCATATTGTTGTGTACTTTATATACCTGTTGTTTTTGAATAAAAAATAATAAAATAGAATTTCAAATTTTTTATTTTGTCA